GAACTCGGGAATGCCTAACACCTTCTCCGGGGTTAACAGAATTCCTTATCCGGATTTCTGGTTTGCGGACTGTAATATGGAGTCATTCTATTCCTCGATTCGGGATTAAATTGGTGACTTAGGACCCCCTAAATCTCCCAAGTGGCGACTCTGAAATAAACAAACAAATCCCGTTTCGATTGTCCTTTAATTGGAAAAAACTCCTTGTACCCCCGCGGGGGCGGAAAAAGGAGGTGTGACAGAGGTTGCTGGCTGGTTAGGCCTCGTATTAATGTTCAGGGAAGGCATAGCAATGATGGGTTTAGAATTAAAAGGGCCCTTTGCCTTCCAGATTTGCTTGCCTTGTTTAATTTGGGCCTGTTTTTTATTCCTTTGCTCCCTCTTAAAACATTTGGGCTTTTTAGAGTAATAGGCCCAATCCATGTTCTTTGTCAAAACTATCCTTTTTAATTTGCAATTGGACTGGGGTTGGTTGAACTAAAGGACCGGTTCTCTGACCTAATTCAAAATTTAGGTTTTGAGTGACACCCACGTGGCCTCTCACGTGTCTATCGTCAACTACAACTGGCTTTTTGGACATCGAGGTACCCACCTCTGTATCCACCGTCTTTGGAACTCCGGAGACCCCATTTCTGCTAATTTTACAAAAATCATCTGGCACAATTGAGACCCAATATTTCCAATCTCCAACTTCTACCTCCACCCTAGAAGGAGGTTCTGAGAGACAGACTTTAACGCATATTCTAGCCCAAAACAGATTCAATTTGTTTTTCGTTTCAACATCCACTCCAACAAACCCACCACAAAGATCTCCGATGGCTTTGAAAGTACCTTCTGACCATGTGTGAAGAGGAACACCCAAGGCTCTAATCCATACATGTTCTGAGTTCACCTTGTTCATCTGCGTGCCGGACACCGGAGACCACCATCCCAGTGAAAGTCTTCTCCCATTCCAGAACCATTCACCTTCTTTAATCCTTGTGGCCTCTTGTTTTGAAGGAAGATGGAAGAGGAATTGATTGTGAGAGAGATGTGTAACTCTGAGACCGGCTGTGACTTGCCATCTTTTTGTGAACCAGCTTTGAATCACTTCTGGTTTTGGTGATGCACTGAATGGGTCGTTAAAGGTCCCAATCAAACAGTTAGAAAGGAAACCTGAGCTATTGTTGTTTGCATCTGGATTAACTCTGACCATTTTATCCACCACCTTTGCAACATTTAGACCGCTTTCCGGCCATTCTTGTATCATTGCGGCATTTGTATATGATAACTCTGGCGTGGTGCGTCGCAAAATGATTTGTGGTTTGCCTAGGAACTGAAGAATTCTCCCAGCAATATCCCTCCATCCTGTATTATATCCAAATTCTGGGATAATGATTGAAGCCTTCTTGTTGTCTCCTATCCACGATTCTATCCGCACGAATCGACCATAGCCATTGAAATTCTGGTACACCCTGTATGTATATGCCTGTATTTTTCTCCCCCATTTCCTGCAAAGGTCTCCGGATCCCAGAGAGGCATGTTGAAGCTGCTCGCAAACCCATCTGAGGAAGATTTCGTCAATCTTCAGTCTGCTTGTAAAACGACGTCCCCTTTCAATCAGGAGAAACCATCTGTTAACATTCTCACTAATGTCTAAGAGTTCAAAAGATTTTTCTCCAGCTAAAAAGAACAATTTCTTTTCCATGAAGAAAGAGAAATTTAACAGAAAGGGTCATCGGAGGTAACCATCGGAAAATATTTCAAAATTTTCACGTTTCCCAAGAGAGAGAGAAAACGTTTATAGGATTAGAATTTTTGTCATTACGGTGAGTAACATCATTAGCAAGAAGTTACACATCATTAGTAACTTAAACAACATTACGGTGAGTAACAGCTGCCTTAATAACTAAACCGCAAAGGAAAGAGGAGGAATCATGAAAAACTACATGCCTGAGACTACAACAACAACAGTAACGATCCTGTAGAATCCTACTAGTGGGGTCTCGGGAGGGTAGTGTGTACGCAGACCTCACCCCTACCCCGAGAGAGTAGAGAGGTTGTTTCCGAAAGACCATCGGCTCAATAAAACGAGAAGAGAAATATATCAGTATTATCAACAGAAACCAAAGGAATAATAACAGCAACATAAAGCCAGAAAATAGATGAAAGCAATAGCAGTAACAAGTAAATAGACCCGGCACTATAAAACGAAAGAGTGGTCAAAAAGATAATAATAATAAAGTAATCAACACCCCAATGCTATGTAAACTCCATCTATGTACGAAGAAGGAGGGATGTTATGTATATACTATCAGCACCTCTTTTTCAAAATATATAACTACTGTCACAAATTAGTAATGCAAATTTCTTAAAATCCAGAAAATAAAGCAGAGAAGTATAATCAAGCATATGCAACATGAACAAACAAGATTAAGAACATTGCCAGGATCATTTGTAAGAGGTAAGTTGATGCAGGATATGGTCTGTATATACAACATTAACTTTCCAAGACAGTGCTCAAAAACCACATACACCTACTTCTCCTTTTGACAAGGTTGGCAGTAACACAAAAATGCACTAAGACACCACAAATAAACACAGCCGCAGGGAGAAAAAAGCAGGAGAAAAGGCCTAGTCACATTTTAATATATATACTTGATGTTTCTACATATTAAAAGTTGAAGGACGTTAATATTTTACAGTTGGCACCAAGCAGGTGCCAAATCCTAGTAGCAGTTAGCTTTGATCTATGTTTTAAACAGGCTGAAGGTTTGAAGGACTTGGGTCTTTTACCAGTTGAGAAGTAAAATAGTAATTAACCTCGTGTACGTCTTAGACATGCTGAAGATGTAACCGATAATCTACTCTTCTACTAGACTAGAGTAGAAATTCTGCAAAAAACATTGAACTAACTTTAGCTTCTTGACCAAAAAGTTGAATCCCTGAAATTGTATGCTTTGATGCAATTCAATGTTTATAATCTCATAAGTAACTCCTACGTTATAGGTTTGACTGTAAACGTAGAGGTTTGTAATCCAAGGCAATATATAACTTTTTCTTCTTCTTCCATAACTTTCCATGTATTATCAAGTCAACATCCATCTCTTTATTTCAGGCTGCACCAAAAGAATGTCTGTCTTCCAATTTCAGGTTGTCCTAGACTCGTGTCTGACAGAATATTATTGACTCATGTCAGAATGGTATACCCACATATTGGTCCTTCTAATACAAAATTCTCTTCGACAAAACCAAAATACATTTTCAGTTCTTCTCTTCATAAAAGTGCAAAGCTACAACTGCCATGCTATAACAGTTTGTTCTGATAACAAGATGTTCATTTCACAGGAAAAAATAACTGTCTGATAGACTATTTGATTCATACTGACACCGCTTTTATCGTTCTAGTTTTTTTTCAGGATGAATAAAGAAGGATAGTTTCGTTCACATTGCGACTTGCACAAATTCAAACCCCCACCATATGCCATAGGGATTAGCAAGTTACTTGAATTGCTTTACTACATTCATTTTTACTCACCTTCCTCTTTGGGGATGTTAGGCTGATCAACCAACAGTTGCTGAAGCGCACCTAAATCATCAGTTGCACTGCAGGGAAGTCAAGCTTCAATATGTGCATAAATTTTTAGAAAGAAAGAGAAACGGAACCTAATGATAAGACTAGAATGAAATCCCAGGATATCCCAATGCTCTTCACAAAACGAAACAACATGAGCTTGATTTTTGACTCAGAAATGGAGATTAAGGCAACAAAACAGGAAAAAAAAAATTGACAGGACATTGACCACCTATACCCTAGATCTGCCAGTGAGATATACAGAGGAAAATAAGAGGCAAAAAACTGTCATATGATACCTGGGTTTTAAGGCAACTGCTGATATTGCTGATATGACCGATAATTTAAGACGGTACCTGAAATAATGTACTGAGGGAATCAGTAACATAAAGTGTTCGATGCATAATAATGCAAGGATAAGAACTAGTTCCTATAGCAAAAGAAACCTATATCAAATCCATTCAAGGTGACCTGGATGAAAGAGAAGAAAGAGGTAACTTGATTTCAAACTTTTGTTCGTGTTAACCTACCATAGCAAATAGCACAGCTATATCATTTTCATAGTAAAGAGAAAAAGCCCCTGATGCAGGAAGTGAACTTAATGAAACTAAAGAGGTGATAGTGGATTGCGTGATTATATAGCATTTTTCTTTTTGTGGATAACTATATGAATATCTAATTCATAGGAAGAAAGACCAAAGTACAGCTATATTACTAGGAAACAACATATTCTCTGCTAATAAAGGCTCAACAATGGAATTTACTAGTGACAAAAGACAATAAACTTCCTACTTAAGATAAACAAGGCAGGAAAGTGAAACAAGAAAAAAAATATTTTCTTAGCTATGCATACTCGGATTGGTGCATCTCACAGAGAAGTTTTAGCCCATCCAAGCAATCAGCAATACTTGGTTTTATCCCAACATGTTGCTGCAGCTGTTTCACAGTTACCTGAGTGGATCCCCCTTTTACGAGCTGTCTACCATCACGAACCATCTTCTCAAGCGATAACACGACAGAACGAAATTTTTCCCTAGATTTTGAACCAAACAGAAAGAGGGGAAAAAAAGAATAACCCTCTTAGTTGATAATCAACATCTAGCTCCAATAACTAAACGCACAAGTATACTGCAGAAGCAATTCACTTACTGCTCTATAACATTACAAAGGAGTACAACAAAACTCATCCCACAGTTTTAAGAAAGTCAAAAACAAGGAAAATAATGCCTACTTTTGCTAACATAATCAATTATCAACAAAAAAACAAAACAAAAAATTCGAAAGGGCAATGACAAATATTTGACTTTATAACTAAGGAATAGAGGCGGACCTATGCAATAGGTAGAGGAGTCACTTGCACCGGTAAAGTTCGGCAAAAATTACATGTATACATGTATATGTCTTTAGAAAATAGTGATATATTAATAGTGGGCACACTATATACAAAGCAAATATTGGTTTAATCAAAAAGTGCACCCGCGACCTTCAAATCCTGGGTCCGCCTCTGCAGTGAGGAAAGTGTGTGTTTGCACTAGTTATCTTTTCTGTAGTTAGAGACTTGCATATAAGTATTTCAAATAACCTCTAGTTTAACTTAAAAGACTAATATTTGGTATTAGAATGAAATGAGCGAAGGTTTTGGAAACCAGTATTTTGCTTTAACCAGTATTTTGTATCGGTGCTTTAACTAGGATCTCATTACTAGGTTCAAGGGTCTTTTGCTTCTTCTCGCGAATTTAATTTCTCTGGTAAGTCTTCATAGGAAACATATTTTTTGTTTTCGCCCTGTTTCTTCTTCTTCTTCAGAATATAGATCCATTACTGCTCGCAAGAGGAATATAGATCTGAAGTCGACAACGCCTCAGTTCGCTGCTCCGAAGCAGAATTTTTCCGGCGACCTCCGTTCCGTGAAATAATCGGGTCCTGCATACCGTCGAAACTGTGAAGATTTTAGCAGAAGCTTTTCAGTTTTTGCTTTGCTC